GTCGTCGTCGTCGTCCTCCGTCGTTGTCGTTGTCGTCGTCGGCCTCGTTGGTCGTCGTCGCCGTCGCTGTCGCTGTCGCAGTCGTCGTCGCCGTTGCTGTCGCGGTCGCCGCCGGCGTCGCCGTCGCCGTCGTCGTCGGCTACCGCCGCGGCCGTTCGTGGTCGTCGTTTTCCGTCGTCGTGGTCGTTGTCGTCGTCGTCGTTGTCGTTGCCGTTCGTGGTCGCCCTTCGTGGTCGTCGACGTCGTCGTTGTCGTCGTCGTCGTCGTCGTCTATAGGCCTTCGTCGGTCCATGCCGTTGCTGTCGCCGTCGCCGTCGTCGTCGTCGTAGTCGCCGTCGCCAGCCTTGTTGGTCGTGGTCGTTGTCGTCGCTTTCGCTGTTTTAGTCGCCGTCGTCGGCGTTCGTGGTCGTCGTCGTCCGTCGTCGTCGTCGTCGTCGTCGCTGTCGTCGTCGTCGTCGTCGTCGCTGTCGTTCGCCGTCGTGGTCGCCGTCGCTGTCGTGGTCGCCGTCGCAGTCACTGTTGCCGTCGCCATCGTCGTCGGCCGCCGCCGCCGTTCGTGTTTATCGTCGCCCGTCGTTGTCGTTGTCGTCGTCGTCTTTCGGCCTTGTTGGTCGTCGTCGTGAATGTCGCGGTCGCCGTCGCTGTCGCCGTCGCCTCCGCCGTCGCCGTCGCCGTCGCCGTCGCCGTCGTCGGCCGCCGCCGCTGCCGTTTGTGGTCGTCGTCGTCGTCTCTCGGCCTTGTTCGTCGTCGTCGTCATCGCTGTCGCGGTCGCCGTCGTCGCTGTCGCGGTCGCCGTCGTCGTCGCTGTCGCCGTCGTTGTTGCCGTCGCCGTCGCCGTCGCCGTCGTCGTGGTCGTCGTCGTCGTTCAACGTCGTCGTCGTCGTCGTCATCGTCGTCGCCGTCGTCTTTCCGTCCATCCAGGTTGCTGCAGGACGGAAGCATGCAGCACGACATCGCGCGTGACATCAACCAACTGGTGGAGAAGATGATCCTGGACGCCAAGCACAACTCCGAGACTAAGGTTGGCAAGGAGATCCAGAAGCTCAAGAGCAAGATGGACCAGATGAATGAGAAGATCAGGTGCCACCACCACTCCTCCCTTTCCTTCTTTCTTGCTATCCTTCTCCTGCTTCCTCCTCATTCTCGTCCTCCTCCTCCTTCTCCTCCTCCTTCCTCCTCCCCTTCCATTTGCACTCCTCGCTCGCCACAACTCCTCCCGACTCCTCCCCGTCCCTTCTCCCCCCTCCTGCTTTTCCCTTCTCCTCCTGCTCCTCCTCCTTGTCCTCATCCTCCGCCTTCCTCTTCCCTCCTGCCCCCTCGTCCTCACTAATATCCCCCCCTCCTTCTCCCTCCTCCTCTTCCTTCATCTCTCCCCTCCTCCTTGCGTTCCCCTCCTCTCTAACCTCCTTTCTGCCTCTTGTTTCTCCACGTTCATCACCACCTTCATCACCACCTCCGCTTCCTCCTTCTCCCTGTTCTCCAGTCCTCTCTGCCCTCATTGCTCCTCCTCCTCCTCCGCCTGGACTCCTCCTCCTCCTCCTCCTGCTCCTCTCCCTCCTCCTCCTCCTCCTCCTCCTCTTCCTCCTCCTCCTCCTCCTCTACCCCACTCCTTCTCGTCTGTTCCTCCTGCTCCTCCACCTCTTCCTTCTCTTAGGGTCATCTCCGAGAAGCTGAATCGGCAGGAGGCCAGCAACGGGGGTGGCTTTCTCAAGTCCGACCTGCAGCAGAGCATTTCGAAGCTCGAGGAGGTCCGGAACTCCTTGTTCCTCCCTCCTGCTCCCCCCCCCCTCTTCCTCCCCTCTCCCTCCCTTTCCCTCCCTCCCTCCCTCCTGTCCGATGGCTCCCCCGACGGGGGTTTTGGACTCGTCGGACCCGTTCTCTCTCTTTCTCGTTCTGTTCCCCTCTGTGGCGTGCGATCCTCCTCCATACTCCTCCTCCTCCTCCTCCTCCTCCTCCTCATCCCTCTCCTCCTCCTCCTCCCCCTCGCTCCTCGCGCCTTTCTCCTCACTACTCACTCCTGTCTTCTCCCTCCTCACTCCTCACTCCTCCCTCCTCACTCCTCACTCCTCCTCCTCCTCCTCCTCCTCACTCCTCACTCCTCCTCCTCCTCCTCCTCCTCCTCCCGCTGCCCCCGCTCCTGCCCCTCCCTGTCCTTCCTCTTCTCTTCCTGGCGGCGCGCAGCACGGGAGCATGGGCGATGGCGGGGGGGGTGGGCGGCCGCCTGCGAGGGCGCCCCGCCTGGCAGAAGCCCTCCCCGCCCTCTACGGTTCCCGCTGAACAGACAGCCCGCTTCTCGCGAAGGCCTTGCGGCCGTTCCCGCCGACCTCGAAGGGGGACGACGACGACGACGACGACGACGACGACGACGACGATACGACGACGACGAAGACGACGACAACGACGACGACGACGACGAACACGACGAAAACGACGACGACGACGGCGACGACGGCGACGACGGCGACGGCGACGGCGACGACGACCACGACCACGACCACGACGACGACGAATACGACGAACACGACGAAAACGACGACGAAAATGACGACGATGACGACGACGACGGCGACGACGACGACGACGGCGACGATGACCACGACCACGACCACGACGACCACGACCACGACCACGACCACGGCTAAGACCACGACCACGACCACGGCGACGACGGCGACCACGAGGACGATGACGGCGATGACGACGACGCTGATGCACTCATTACACGCTATCCCCACCGTTGGGATAGCGTTCGCCGAAGAAGCCCTGGCATAGGGGATAGCGTGCACAGCAGGGACCCTGGCGGTGGGATCGTCTCACAGGGGCAGCGTGCTCTTCGGAGATCGATGCTGCACGCTGTTTTTCCAAAGAGGGAGGGCCCTTCCTTGGAAGCCTCCATAAGAGCGGGCCAGCCCTCTCCGAGAACCCAACCGTTCTTCGAGCCGAATCATATAAAAGGCATATGAACCTGGTTTCTAGGAGGTCCGCGCGGATTTCTTGGATCGGCGTTGGGCCCCCCTGGCGTTGCTTCTGGCGCCGCCCCTGGCGCTCCCCTCGCGCCAGGGAGGGTGGTCCAGCGTCGACCCAAGAAATCCGCGCGGACCTTCTAGACTTTACGGTATACTTACGCCGTGCTTCGGGGGGGAACGTATGGGAAGTGGGAGGGGGAGACGAATGTTCAGACACTGTGAAAACAAAAGGGGGCTCTGGGAACTGGTGTATATTTCTGTGCGTCTTCCTGCGCCCCTTCCCACTCTCGCCCTGCCCTCCCCGTGCGCGCCGCCAGTCATTCCCCCCCCCTTTTGCAGGTGTGGAACTCCGAGTGCGAGGCGCTGAAGCACGAGCTGTGGCAGACGATCCAGGCGCACAACCACAACGCCGACCTCCTGAAGCACCACAAGGACGCGATCGGCCCCTCCCCACTCCTGCTCCCCCTCTCCCCCTCCCTTCTCCTGGGCAAGCCGCGGGAGCAAGCGCGCGAGGCGTCAGTGAGCGGGCAGCCGGGCCCGCGCGCTCCCCCCACGGGCACCCTGCACGGGAGAGATGGCAAGGATAGCGAGAGGGCACGCAACAGCACCTCCAGCCGGGGTGCAGGCGGGCGACGGGGCTGTCCCCTTTGCCCCTCCAATCGAGAGCTGGAGGAGCGCGTGGAGCGATCCTCCCCCTCCCTCCCTCCCTCCCTCCCTCTCCCTCGCCTTCCCCCCGCCCACCTCGCCCACCTCCTGCGGCCTTCTGGGGCGGCGCCTCGCCCGTCCGAAGCCCTCCCGCCCTCTGAGACGCCCTCACGGAAGCCTCTCAGGAGGGGCAGGGCCCCGCCCCCAAAAGCCCCCCCCCCCCCCCCCCTCTCTCCCTTGTGCCACCCATCAGAGGGCCGCCGCTCCCCCTCCCCCTTACCCCCCCCCACACACCCAGGCCCCGCTGCCTTGTGTTCGCCGCCGTTGCTGTGCCATCGATTTGCCGCGCGTTGTCCACGCGGGCCGCCAGCATGGTCAGCCTGGCCACTCCGAATGGCCAGCGCACCCTCGGTGAGCTGTCGTAGTCGTGGCAGCTGCGTGTGGGGTTGTCCGCGTGAGCAGAGCAAGCAAACCACACGACCTTACACGTCCGCGTGGGTTTCTTGTGTCGGCGCTGTACCCCCCTTCCCACCACCCGGGGCGGCGCATCTGGCGAGACCGCCAGCAGCGTGCTCCGCGAGCCAGGACATGGGTGCGGTGGGGGGCGGGGGGGGTGGATCGGGGGAGCGTAAGACCCGGGTTTGCCGGGACTCGGGTTTGCCATCGTTTTTTGACGACCGCGATTCGGATTTTGACGAGGAGGAGTTTTGTGAAATGTCTGCAGCGGGAGACCTCGTCAAAATGCAGGCTCGGCCTCGTCATTTTTTTGACGACCTCGTCGGGGATTTCCGAGTCCCCCGTACCCGGGTCTTACGTCTCCCCGAGTGGAGGACAGCGCCTGCCCAAGAGATCCGCGTGGACCTCCGAGAGTTTGTGCCCGTGCCGCCCCTGCTCTTCCAGCGGCAGCAGAGGCCCCTTTCTGTGAGCCCCCGCGGGGCGCAGGCATGTCCGTATCCGCAGCCTCGCGGTCGGGACTCCTCGGCCGCGGCTCCGTGGATAGAGCTCGGCGGTGCGCGGGTACCCCCGCGCGGCATGTACCTGCGAGGTCGCGCATCCGCGGGATCGCTCCCCGCTCTCCAGACCGCGAGGACAGGTATAGCGTATGATACGCATGTCGTATATGAGCTCCGCTCCAAAATCAGTGCCCAGGGACCCCACCTGTGTCCGCCCTGGACAAGCGTCGCATCCCGGATCGACTTCTCACGGCCCTGGGGCCTCAAAGGCGGCCTCTGCGTGCCGAGCACGAACGAGGAAGCTCTGGGCCTCCACTGGCTCTGCGCTCGTGAATGCGTGCCCGCCGCCGAGGACGCGATCGACCAGATCCAGATCAGCTGGACCGACGGCCCCTCGTACCTCGAGCTGGAGCAGGTGCACGCGCAGCTGGCCCAG